CAGCCGTGAGGGCAGAATTGGGGATCCAATCCCTACGGTCGGGAAGAGACGCGAGGAAGCTGACCTGGCAGTATCGCATGTGCGGGATGGGAGAGGAGAGGTTGCCGAGAATTGTATGGGAGGCGAAGTGGGCAAACAAAAAGAGGGGTAGACAACCCACGGAATGGGTCAAGGTTGTAGAGGACGTATGGAAGGGGCTCGACATCGACGAAGATGAAACGCTGGAAACGGAGGGTCTACAGGGATTCAAGGAGAGGATATCTGTTGCTCGTGCCGAGAGAGAAGAACAGAATCCAAGGAAAGAAACCAAGGATAAGGAGGGTCTAGAAGTGTACGGAATGTTGAAGGAAGGAATAGGGTTCAAGGATTACCTACATGGACCAATGGATGCAGGAACCATGCTTAAGGTCAAATTCAGGACCGGGGACATAGGCCTTCGAGAACGTCGACGAAGACATAGGACTGTAGACGACGAAGACGACGAATTCAAATGTGATTGCGGCTTCGAATGCGAAGCCCGTGTCCATGTAGTCGCGGAATGTCCGTTGTACAAGAAGGAGAGGGAAGTGTACGTGACTGAGCTGGGAACAATAGATGGGACGTACGGGGAGATGTTTGAGGCATAGAATAGAGAGGAGAGGACGGTTGCTGTACTGGGGCATTGGAGGTGGGTTGAAAAGGCGGGAAGAGATATCGTTAGGATAGACAGACTAGGGAAGACATTTTTGAGCGACCTTTGGCAAAGTAGAAAGGAACGATTGGCCATCGGTGAACGGTCCTGTGGGAACAATGCTCCGTCCTCTCGAGAACGCTTGGTCAATGGTCTAACCGCTAAGGCATGCAAAACATAAGAGTACGCCCCCCCCCCCCTCCGCCAATAGAGGAACACTTCAGCACTGTGGCTGATTTCGTACGTTCTGCAGCGTTTCATGATCTGATTCTTTGTGTACATGCGTATGTTGAAGCACAACCCTGGAATGCGTATCGGCACCTCGACACTCAACTGACGTTTTCTGCATGTCTCACTCGAATATTTCATCCTTCACTCGAACAAAGAAACGATAACCGTACAGCATCTAGTCTACACATCAACGATTGGTGTCGGGGTTCGTTGCCGTCCTCGAGAGGGAAAAGGGGCCGCTCCCGGCGGCGGCTGAACCAAGGGAACCACCGCCCCTCTCGACTGTCCCGCTCCTCCTTGAATACGAGCACCGGTCGCCACCCGCCCACCAGCCCCCTTTCCCTCTCCGCGAGCACGCCCACCCGCCCCCTTTCCCTCTCCGCGAGCACCAGCGGGGCGGCCCCGGCCACCCTGTCCCTGGCCGCGCCCGACCCGCCGCTCCGCCCGCCGCCCTGCCCAAGATTGGCCTCCCTCGCTGCCCTTGCCTCTGTACGGGCTTTGGCGTTGTCCGCCTTTACTTTCGCAGCTGCCTCCTTCTCTTTGTTGTCCTTCCTGGCCTTAGCAAGGTGTTGTTCGGCAGACAGGAGACCGCCCTCGGGCTTACCCCCGCCCGCCCGAACGGTCGCGAAAGACTTGGAGCGCGTGGTGAGGCGGGTGAGCCCGCTGAGGACCACGGTGTTCACGCGGAGCCCCTCGATCATCACTCCCTGTCGTTTCAGCTCCAGGAATGCAGCGTGGCCGAGATCTTCTTCGAGCTTCTTCTTGGAGGCAACGACGGCGAGGTCTTCAGGGATAGAGCGGTCATTCTCCCGTTGCTTCCTCTTGCTGTGTAGTCGGTTGATGGCCTTCTCTATGTTCACCGAACACAAGCCCGCCCCTTTGATGCCGCCATGCTATTCGCAGGGGTGAAGCTCCCTCTCCATGCCTCCGCAATCACGCCAGCCATGTCGCGCTTCACCGGACTCCTTCCCCCGATTTTCAGTGGGTAGGCCGTGAGCACCCCGGTGAGCTCCTTCTTGAAGGTTCCGAACGTACCAACGTCCAAGGGCTGGGTGATGTGCGATGTGTGGGACGGGAGCTGGAAAAGGTCGATGTCCAGAGAGATGGCCAAGCTGATGGCGTCGAAGGTCGTGTGCGAGGCGTGGCCGTCGTGCACGAGGGCAACTTTGCCCTGCAAGCCGCGTGCATCGAGCTGTTCGCGGAGGTCTCGAAGGTAGTCGAGGAACACGTGACTCTGGATGAAGGATGACTCCGTGACGGTGTACTTCGCATCGGGGACGCCATTCTTGTCCTGGATACAAGCGGGTTGCATACGCTGACCTTTGTAGATGAGGATAGGGTTGTAGGTGTGGCCGTCGGCACCGATGGTGGCGACCACCGTCGTATTTTCTCGCGAGTTGGAGCGCCTCGCGCCGGGCACCTAGGTGCCTGCTGGCACGATAGCCTTCCCCGACTTTGTACCTTGCGGGGTGGAACCTACAACACACACCGGAGAACGCGCGTGCATCGGGGGTGGAGGCAGTCGAACAATCAGTAAGGGACACATAATTTCGCAGCAGCAGCGCTCGCACACACAACAAAGCGCGCTTTCACACGCACATGAGCGCAGCTCGCACCGGGCGGTGGCACACAGCGGTGGTGACGGGACCATTTTTTTTCTTCAACAGTAGTCGGATTCGTTTAGACTTTGGGTGTGGACCAACAACCCCACACTCATGAAAGTTTACATTGAGCTCGAAACCAAGGTGGGTAAACAAAAGCAAAGCGTCCTACTGAAGCCTCGACTTGACTGCACTTCGCACAGCATCGGCAACACACGTGCATGCGGACGATGCGGACCAACACCGCACACGCCCGCTGTCGCGTGTGGCACACAACAAAAACATCGTGTAGAATATCGTACATGAGCCCTACCATTTCTGTGCTAGAGTATAACTAAGATGACCACAGGGATTGTTGCATGCTGAACCCTCAACCAGATCCAGCATCATATGCGCGTTGTGTACTACAAGCATGGCAAGCAGCAGCGGCCTCGGACAGACATGCGGAACAACTGCTTTTTTTTTTTGCAGCAGCAGCAGCAGCAGCAGCAGAACTCCGCTTTGTTGTGACACACATCACACATCGCAGTGCTGCTGGTACTTCGCCTGCGAACCCACAGCAGTCGATACTGACACCACTGACACCTCAGCCCTTGCCCTAACTCACTTGTCTCGTCCGTGTTGATGATGCGGTCCGGCGTGAGCTTGGTCGTCGCGAGGTACGCTTCCCATGTTTCGTAGAAGGCTTTAAGGCGAGGCTCGTCGTCTTTGTTGATCCGGCTTGCTTCGTGGATGTGGGTGGCTCGCTCCGACAACCCCGGGTGCCTCGCCATGAATCCCTCAAGCCAGCTGTCCCCGGGGCCCTTGTCTGGGTCCCAGGGCACCTTGCGTCCGTCGAGAGTAAGTGTGGGTATTAATTAAGGACCAACCCCCTATTAGGGACCGCTTTTTTCAAAAAAACATATCTTGCCGATACCAACGCGGAAAGCCTTAAGCCTTAAAGCCTTTCTGTTTTTTTCCTCGTGTTGCTGTGGACCTCACCTTTCATTTAAGCTTAAGTTTACTCAATTTGGTGGAGGACTTCGTTTTACACAGCATTCTGCGCCAGGTTATGTATGCTTTTTTTTTTTGGTGCTGTGTGGTGGCTCCGGCTAAGCCAGGTCATAATATTGACCTATATACTGGCAGGTTTCTGAGAACGCGTGGGTCACTGTGTGGTGTAGTGTTTTGTTGCTCCCTATAAAAAAACCCAGTACGAGGCAGATTTGAACCTTGTGTCGTGCATTTTGTTTTTTCATCCGCTTTTTTTTCCTTTTTTTTCTATTTTGCCCCCTCGATTTTCGTCCAAATGGGGGCAAAATCGCGTCTGTATGTCAGATAGAGACTAAATTAATCCGGATGACAACAAAAAATTGCATGGTGCCTATTCTAGGGGTGCTCGCCACGATGCCGAAGAAAAAACGTGCAAAAAACACTTGAAATCTCTTTGCGTGGTGCCCAAAGTAGGCCATTTTTGGCCACGGGGATTTCTTGTTTTTATCCCCGGGCATGTATGTTTTTTTCAATATTTTTTTCGGAAATGCTTTGTATTACTACCATAACGATACTTGCCAAAGGAAAAAATCTGGAAATCATTTGAACGTGCGCAATGACTACGAATTCGAAGTGGTCCTTAATCGGGGCATTTGTGTTTTACCGGTATTTTTCCCTGACAAATGAAGAATACTAAGATGGCACCATGTCAGCACCACATGCATCTTTTTTTTTTGTTGTTTCATCGTTTAGGTCGTGTTATATGCTAACGTTCGATACCTCTCTGTCGCCACAAATCGTCAACACACCCGAGGACGACCTCTCAGAGCGGGGGCTCCGTTAAGTGGTCCTTAATCGGCACATTTACAGTATGTAGATCTTCCGCACAGCTTCTTTCAGTTCCCTCCGACCCAACAGCAAGAAGTGTCGGGAGGCGTAGATCAACACATCTTCAACGACATCTTCCTCCTCCCTTGCACAGGACAGTCCCGGGACCAACCCTCGCATCTATGGCCACCTCCTTCACACGGCGGTGGAGCGAGGTCGGGTTCAACCCATAGGTGTCCGCAGCAACCGTAAACGACATGTCACCGCTGCGTACTGCATGGACAGCCTTCTGGGCCCGCCCTGGGTCTATTCTCGCCCGTCCCATGCTTGGCAGCAGGACCCCAGCAAGGGCAAACATAGCCCACATCAGGGGTGTGGGTGGGGGCTGTGCTGTAGCTCGGCAGTGCTTGACTTCGGCACGCTGAAGTGCTCAAACGAGAGCAAACGGAAAGGGAAAAAAATTGCCAAAGACTACATAAATCAGCGGTCCCCGCGAATTGTGCACGGAGATACGTCATGTAGTTCAATGGTATATGACCTATAATAATGGAAAGTAGGTCTGTGTAACGCTATGGTGTTCCAACTGGTACTTCCCGTTTGTCGTGGTGTCCTCAGCAGTGGCCGTTTGTTTTCAACCCAAGCATGGAGACAACAACAACATCAGCGATTTGACACCACGGCAGGTCGGTTTTCCACGTAAGATCATCAGGATATGTGCGGTTGGTAGCTTGCTCTCTGGGTGCTGTTGTTGTTGTTGTTGTTGTTGTTGTTGTTGTTGTTGTTGTTGTTGTTGTTGTTGTTGTTGTTGTTGTTGTTGTTNCTTAAAAGGTACACTCAAATAAAATGGCCCCGAGGGGTCCGCAAGTCAATAGAAATCAACGCCAGATATTCTGAAGTCCTCTACTCCATCTGCGCGCTATGCGAGGACACAACTGAGACTAGGGGTCACCATCACGCGCCGGAGAGAATGAGGTACACCCCCTTGGTTCAATCTTGGTACTTCACAACGCAAGCAGCAACAAGGCCATCTGGCACAGAAAAAGAGAGAAAAAGAGAAAAAAAGAAAAACAAAGGAAAATAAAAGGAAACAGTTAAGGAAAGAGAAAATGAAATAAAAAGAGCGAGGACAAAAAGGGACCAGGCCGAAAATAACAAGAAATAAGAGACAGAAAAAGGCACGCGGTGGAGAGACCACTAACGACAAGCCAACACGCAAACATGGCCACCAACCAGCGATACACTATAATGGTACGTCATCACTAGTGGGGGGTTGGTGCAATGGTGCAGCGTTGGGCGGGGGGAATTGGCCAATAGAAACTCAACCCGGCACGTGTCGCGCCACTCGGTCTTATCTCTTTTCTCGTTTGCTTTCTTCCCTTCCCGTCTCGTCCGTCTTCTGCCCGCCTTCCGCCCCATGGGTTGTTGGCTTGTGGTTTCGTTTGAGCGTCCGTTGTCGACTAGCCTCTTCTTCCTTCTCGTGCCAGGAGGTCATGAACCTCTCAGCTCCCTGCAGCACCGCCGCATGCCAGGGTACTCCCCCCTC